TGGCACACCTGCGCCTGCAGCCGCGTGATCTCGTCGCCCGCCACTGCAGCCACCTCAGGGCCACCTACATAGACGGATACACGCCCACTCCGGTACAGCGCATTGAGCTTTAACATTCTGTCATGTTTTCGGTTTATTTTATATTTTGGAGTGTGACATTTGTGATCGGAGCTAAGCAGGTTGTATAATATGTTGTGGTGTGTGTTGTGCAGACGATGTCCAACATCGTGTCCTCCCTGGTGGCGGCCAACGAGCAGGCGGTGGGCGGCGCGGCGCTGGCGGCGGCGCTGGACGCGCTGCGGGCGCCCGACCTACTGCGCGTCTCTCGCGACGAGTACTTCGTGTTCCTCACGCCACCCGGCGACCTCTACGACAAGAGCGTCGTGCCGGGGTACTACTGGCTCTCACTAAACTTATATATTATTTACATGTCACTGTGTGATGTTAAGTGAAATACTTGTATTAACAGCAATGATGACGGCAAGGAGATGAATTTGAAGCGCGAGAGCAAGGCGTACAGCTATAAAGAGCAGCTGGAGGAGCTACAACTGCGCCGCGAGCTCGAGGAGAAGCGGCGCCGCGAGGGCCACGCTAAGCAGGTGCCCTCGCCGCACACGACATCTACACAATATTTAGTTTTTTTAATACCATTTTTGATTAATCTATTATGTATTTCTATGTATTTTATGTATTTCCTCAGGTGCCGCTGAGCGCTAAACAAAAGGAAGCTATTAAGTTGCAGCTGGCCAAGGAGAGCATTATTCGCGACCGGCTCACCGCGGTAACTAACTGCATATATTTTTCTGTAACTGCCAGTGACCACTCGGGTTCTAACCGGTATTTGTATGTGGAACAGCTGAACGATCGCGTGGTCGTGGCCGAGCAGCTGGTGAGCGCGGTGCAGGCGGGCTCGGCGTCTGCGGTGTGCCAGCAGGCTAGGCACTTGGTGTCCGCCGTGCTAGCTGCGTTGCGAAGCCCACTGGCCGCGCCGCGCCTCGCCCCGCTCTTCCTGCGCCTTCGCCCCGCCCTGCTGCCGAGACATGCCCTGCTCGGTGACACCGTTGCACGCGTCGCACTCAGGTACGTACATCCTTAGCACAATAGCAAATATACACAGTCATGATGTATGCACAGGTATTATTTTTATATCAACA